TTTAACTCTAATAAAGTAGTATGTGCCCGTATGTATCTTCAAGTTTCTTGGTAGATAAATGTAATGAGAAGGTCTGCCATATTCTTCTCTGAAATAATATAATTTAGGGACAGAGTATAGCTCTTCAGTTCATCACGAATGCAAAAGTGTCTGATGTTAATGTGTTCTGCCCTTTTATGATGCTCTGAATTGCGACACCTTTTGATAGCAGCTTGATTGTTGACGAACACACGGATAATTTTCTAAAGGACAAGCACTTTTTCTATGAAGAAGCGTAGTCATAAAGCTTATCTCATTGCGTCCGCTATTGAATCTTCTCCGCTTCCATGGTCGACAGGGCCGTAATCTTTTAAAATAGACTCCCCTACAACAGTGGTATTTCATGTACTCCGTCGGGTTCAATAACAACCAGCGTAATCGCTATCGCAAAAACACCCTAGAGAATATGTCGCATTGCGTCGGTAATAAATTCTGTAATGCGTCGTACCAATCAGGTATCTAACGAGATGCTGAGCTGCTTTCCAGTCCACAATAGTAGGGTAGATACCTTCCTGGTCACCCTAATAATAGCAAAAGCTATATCCGGCCTATAAACAATTAAAAAATGGAGGAAGGGACAGACTATCTCTCTGTAAGGCTGGACAGTTAATTTTAGACTATTGCCGGTATTTTTTTGGCTTGGCATTACTTATTTCAAATCTGGTCTAAATGTCATTATGTATTGCTCCTGGTTTAGAAAAATTCCGGCCTCACTCTGTTGACATTCATTTCAAGTATCCAAGTAGCCTTTCACAGTACTTTGATTTTATGACTCGACTTGAAGTGGTAGGAGTTGCCCACGGAAAGTTGTCAAGTTGAAATCGAAGGCCTTCCTTCTCAATCTCTGCTTCCTTCAAGTTTTCCTGCTGAAGCTCTGCCGAATATTTGGCGAATACTAGGATGTACTTAAATACAAATTCTCTTCCATACTTTGACGGAAAGAGTTCCCAGTCTGGAAGGTAAAATTTCCTTGCACTGACCACTGTAAATATATGGTATTTGCAAAATACTACGCCAGGGAGGCCAGCCTTCCTGCGCTTTCCCTTGGTGAGCAGGCTACTGGCCACGTACTCCCCGCCGAGACCCACGCAAAGCATGGGAATCGCTTCTTTTACGGTATGGAAGAAAAATGACCAAAAGTCAATATATCTAAAGCTCAAACTGTACTGCTTTAGACTCTCAGAGTACCCAAGTGTACAGGAATGCAAAGGAAGTGAGGATAATTGCGTCACAGTATTCTACATTATCCACTGGGGATATATTATTGACGAGGACATGTGGGCTGCTTTTTTAAACGGTCTACCCGACGAATATATCAACGTCATTAACAACAATATACTCCTAACATGAGCCTTCTATTCAGGGCGTGCTGTTATGGCAATAAGGAATTTAAATAGCTAACCAGGTTGACAACGTGAATACCGTTCTCGCCGCTGGGGTAAGAACGTGAAAAAAGAGAAATAATGGTAAGTGGGGGATTCAAAGGCAGGTGCTGGGTATGTGAAAAGAGGTTCTCGCATTGTTCTTGTCCGAAGTGTCCGAAGTGCTCGAGATCAGGACACGCCTCAGCAGCCTGCCGACCCTGTGATTCTTGCCGAAAGTATGAGCGTTGCATAGTTTAGAATTGTCCCCTGTACTGATTTTAGTTTGAAGTAACGAATTATAATTGACAGTTTTGCAATCCTCTCTATACTCAATCAACATACGCTTTTCAAAAAAACTCTACTTTTTAAAGGGAAATCGATTATGATTGCTCCTCCTCTCTTGCCGGCAAACATGTCCCAGTAGTTCAACAGCTGGTGTAGACAACACAGCCCCTTTTTACATTCAGGGTGCTTCATATTCCTAAAAGTCGAAAATCTTTCTTCACACGCTTTGAAACCAAATTTACCGATTTCTCTCTTTAACGGAAGAACTTATAATTTTCCAGTCATTTGATGTTGAACTTTTCGTATCTGGTAAAGATTATATAAAACGGTATAACGACCTGATTTAGTTTCACCGCACCCTTAACAACCGTCTACATACACTTAAGTGTCTCCCAGAGGAACCAGTACAATGTTTTATACCCTTTTGATACTAAATCGAGCGTTTATCTGCCCAAAAGGCAGCACAGTCCATACTTTACGCCCTTCTAGCAGTTAAAAGCCAATTACTTCTTACTAGTCTAACTATCTCAAGCTGTTAATACCCTTAGCGTTGTCCATTGTAGTAAAGTAAGTGCTGTTCTAGGCTTCAAATTAATTAACTATTCATTGGGATCATGTACTGCTTTGTAACATATCTTTGTTCAGGCCCCGCATATCATACACACTGCAGACCAACTCTGTGGCATTTTCTCATTCTGGTTTCAATACTACTACCCGTTTGTGATTCAGTCATAATCATTCGTAAATTCGAGTAACTCTGTGTCTAACAGCTTTTCACAGTCGCGTTATATTTCCACTTCAACTCACCCTTTGATTATGTATGTGCCCCAAACAAAAAGAGATCCAACTTTAAATTCTACTTTGACTGGTTAAAAATACATGATCGACAATATGTTACACTTTAACATTTCAAACAAGATAACTATCTTTTCACATCTACTATTTTAACTGACTTATTCTTCTATCCACTTCATCAAAATCCTTAAAACTCATATTCATTCTGTAAAATTTAGCTCATAATTATAAACCTCATTGACTACAGCCCCCTTTAACTTTCTATTTTCCCACAACACAATCTTTGCAAGCTCTCTCTCTAGCGCTGAATTGACTAGCCACTTAGAAAGTTCAAAGTGCTATTCTTCACTCTCGCTAACTTATATAAAACATCTCACAATCTTTACTCCCTAGTAAAATATTAAGTTCTAAATAAAGTTCATGCCTCACCACAGTCAAATAAAACTCTGCTCTCGTTTCTTTACTTTCTCCCAGCTGCACGAACGTGCACGAAGTGTAAAACCTTTCCCCCATTAAACGCAGTGCTCATACCTGTCTCTCTTAATAGGTAGAGATTGTAAATTTAATGCTTATAATAGATATGTAGCTATCAGCTGGCCTTGAATCCAAAAACCTTTCTTTTTAATAGTTCTCCCGTAAAAATGACACCTTCAGCCTTATAAACTAAAGTTGAATAAACTTAAGGGATTTTATTTAGTTCATATAAAACTGCACAAGTGGTTTTTTTAGCTCAAAAATTTCTATTGAAATGAGCACAAACTCTAATCTAAATTTTCCAACTTGACCTCTAAATATTTAATAACAATTTTAAGACCACCTAAAATATTTAAACTACACTCCCTTGGACCTTAACCACACTCTGATGTTGAAAATTCGCTTACTAAGTCCCTTTTAATTTAAAACTGACTTTTCAATTTCGTTCCTTATAAATTTCCTTTTTCGTAACGCGTCCCAAGCGACTAAAATATCAAATTGTTGTTCTTGCGATTCAAAGGTTTAAGAACTATTATATTGTAAACATACAAACCTATTATATAACTATACATCTTATAAATAATGATGATACAACGTATGAGGTTTTTCAAAGCTTAAAAGGACTGCAATAGCCTTTTTTCTTTATTGGCTTTTTAGTCGACTTGGATAAAACACAAGATTAAAAAAATTAAAGCAAGGAATATTTTGTTAACCTACTTTCGGTCTGTATTTTGCTTCCATATTTTATAGTATAATTTATCTGAAGCAGATTAGTTCACTTACGGATTACTTTTCCTGTGAATATTTAGGGGGTTTGCTTTTATGTTTTGCGTTTTTTGTATTATTTGTTTTATGGTCAGTGTATTTTATATCAAATTATTACACTATTTATTTATGTGTTTATGTTTCTATGTTCCTTTTTTATATTTTACTTTTTATGTTTGGACCGTGTCGTAAGTGTCCTTGTATACTGTTTTATTGTGTTATAAATTTCGTTATAGTAGTGTTGCTTTGTAAATTAATTCAAATAGGACTTATGTTTTTGTCAGAAAAATGATTTAGTTAAAATAACAGCCAGGTTATTCCTTGAGGCAATCAATTCTAAGAAGAAAAAGAAAAAGGGCACAGCGCGAGCTATTCTTTGTTTTATACCCTTGACTATTGCTGCGCCCCAGGTGTAACTAACTTCCACGTGGCTTCCAACCTCGAGAAAATTAGTGTATTCCATTTTGTAAGTAGGCTGATGTGATTGGAGTAAAGTTTTTAAACTATAGGTATTAACTAATGAAAAGCAAAGGTCGCATTTTTAAGTTTTCGCTAATCTTGTTTAACTTAACCTATGCACAAAATTTACGCTATTCAAAAAAAGGGCCCCAATTGTTGATTTGGTTATAGGAGTGAAAAGTCTAGTTATCTTTCACCACAAGTAAATAAATCAACTAATATTTTCTGCTAATTACCGCTCGACGGTGAAAGTTATTACAAAGTGAGCTTTATACTAAAACGAAACCTTTAATTTCAGAACGGTTATACTTAAAAATATATATATACAGAAAAATTTGAGTAAAAATATATTTTATAAAGTTAAATAAATGTTACTTGGAATGGATATTAGTAAGACGTTTATAATTACGATTTATAGGTTACCCTTCGTTAAAGTTAGTCTTTATAAGTAAGAACGAGTTCGCAAGCGAACTAACGAAGGGGAGAGGGGAGGGACGTTTGTTCATTTAATAATGAAATTTAATATATATGCATAAATATTTTTTTCCGTTAATGGTATGCTTATAAATGCAAAAATCCAATAATTTATCTATGTTAAGCCTTCGTCGCTAACTAACGAACCTTAAGTATGGCTTTAATGCTATTAACCCCTAAGTTACAACTCTTAGTTGAGATGTGATGGTTTTACGTATTTAGCCTGTAAGAGGACTGGCCACTTGGGGGAAGAGCGCTAATTAGTAACCACAAAGCATGATGGGAGTATCGCGCTCTTTCTTTTGCATATTGTTTGCTACTGTGAAGTAGGTGGCGAGCGTGGTGCCCTAGGCGACTCAGAAACTGTAAAAATTATTATTACAATCTTTTAAAAGTTTAACTAATTCTATTTATAATTTCTTTGTAATAAATTATAGCTGAATTTATTTTTTTTATTGTTTATATTATAAGATATTTGAAGCTTAAAACTGGTAAGGTCAATAATACTAAAAAAAATGACATTATTATACATTAGTTTTTATAATTAAGTAACAGGAAGTTGGATTACGAGGCTTAATGGAAACACAACTCGAACTTTTTCTCGGGTGTGGGAGGGGTGTAAATACTTTTATAAGCCATTAAAAATAAATTAAAAATTGTGAAGTGTAACATCATTTAATGTAAAATGAAAATCAATATATATATGTATCAAGAGTCACAAACTAATTAGACAACCATTATCTCTATGTCAATTATATTAAGATATATATTTTAAATATTATAATTTGAAAATTTTATTGACCCTTGAGTTATATTCGATTAGGTGTTTAAAACATACGTTTTAAAATATGCATTATATTTTTGTGGGATTAATTATGTAAAATCTTGTTAAAGTACGATTATGGCTAATGGAGATAATAATATAGAAGGAGTGTAGCAGAAAAAAAAAATGTCAGTGAGATTCCCCAATAATTTTTGTCTTGAAGGTTATTCTATTCTAATACTATTGTTAGGTTATAATCTAAGAATAATAGTTCTGCCCGCGTCATAATATATACTAAGCGCCTAGGATTAAGAGCTTGTTTAAACTACGTAAGTTTACCGACGTATCAAAAACCGCAGTCGTAAAAGCCATTTTCAGGTATTTACTTTAAAAGCATAGTTGAAAGGTTTTAAATTACATTTAAAGTAAAATATGGTTATAAAAATCATCAGTATTATTCTACTTCGCCTCTTTAGTGATGAAAAAAAGAAGGGAGCAATCAATTTATTGTTCAACAGAGACCAATCGCGACTTCTTATATAGTCGAAACTCGACCCAAAGTAAATTAAAAACAAATTAAACTGGGGAGCTCGATCGGAAACAAAATTTCGGAATTTGTGGGGCTTAGAAATATTTTTAAAGCAGTCGCAAATTTTTAGGAAGATATGGATTCTGATACTGAAACGGTGACACATTTTTGAAAGGTTGTATATTGTTAGCAGAATTAACTATAAAGGAAAGACCCGTAATTAAGTACAAGGACACAATTTCTTGGGCCAATATGGCCTTTTATGAGTTGCTTATATTTTAAAAAAAAAAAAATAAACAATCTCTATATATCTACTAATTATTAATTTCTCTTTAGGCCAACAGAAGTCACGATTGATAAGTCATGAGTCTTACAGACGCTTACATAATAAAGAATCGTAGCAATGGTGAGTAATTAAGCGACGCAGAGTTTGTAACGGAACTACTATTTCGTTATTATAGTCTAAAACTGAGACCTTGTATAAAATCTGAATGGTGTATGGTTTCTCTTTTAAAAAACTGCACAGTAGCTTAAAAAGTAACTGTCATCATAGTTAAAAGCTAAAATTGCTGCATATGCAAATTGAAGAGCCACCCGAAAAGTAAAAAAAATCCTGGCAATTGGTAGTGTTACTACATTCAAAATTTGGAAGGCACGAAAAAACGACGTTTTCAATTACTCCTCCAGGGTTTAAACTCTATGCTGCTTATAGTGTGTGGCGGTGCTGCCGATTCATATCTTTGGGACTTCGCGATAGTTCTTTACTTTTTTTAGAAAAGTAACGATTCATCATAAGGTTGCCTGATTGCTATCGTAAAGCGCACGAAAAAAACCGTGCCTATATATGGGCATCCAGCCTTGAGGTTATTCCTTGCGGCCTCAGGTAGGTAGAATGATCGATTGAGGACAAGAGGTTTCCTTCCCTTCATGGGTCGCATGTTTAATGTCGGTTCCTTCCCTTTTGGTCTTACCACTCTCTACTGTAAATAAGGTTTACTTCAAATCTTGGGCTAATTCGCTCCAGAAATGAGGAATACAACAACTTTTAGACCGGGATTATGGTACCTTCCTTTGGGACCCTTGCTCTAAGTGCTAGCATGTACTCCGGAGAGCTACAGGTGGTGCCTAAAAAATGGCTTGATATTCCACGTAGCGAAAGATATGCTCTTAAAATGCTCAAAAACACTTTATGAGCTAAAGTCTAAAAGCAGGTGCTAAATTCCCCGTGTCAGAAGGGTCGAGCTCATTACTTAAGCTGGAGCTGCTAGGTTCGAGTACATGAGGTCTAGGATTTGAGTGACGCTTTTAGAAGCTTCAAACCTATTATAATATCAGGCTAATTATTTTTTTGAGCAGAAAAGGGCTTATAATGCCGTATATACTAGTGGCGCCTTCTGAAAAAGTTGATTCTTATCCTCAGTCATTGAAGAGCCAGTAAAACCTTTAGTGAGACATCGGTGAGATTGGCTAAGCTGTATTCAGCCTGCGCCTTTTAGCTACTAAGTGTGTCCGAAAGCTCTCGGTTTCAAGTGGAATACAATGAGTGGGCGAAAACAACACTTACTTTGATCCGAAGCCGTTCATACAATTTGTGAATAAACTAGGCTATTTAACCGAAGTTTAAAGCAAACTGCATGAGTGTGAAATAGTGTACGCTGGTGTATTCCTGTGTGTATTGGCTTATAATAGTATGCACTGTGACTAATAGTATTATTTTTCAGTATATATATAAATGCGGCGCGGGTCAAAATTATAATCTGAAAGGTTAACTATTCACGATAAAGGTAAAGCACGTTAAGTTCTTATGATCCATGAACTTGTAATTTTATGCTGTTAGATAAGCATACAATGGCGCTAAACCTTTACAACCGCTAACAGTTTTAACTAGGAGTGTGATTGTCAATTGGAACTTTAGAAAGTCGCCTTTAGAAATACTTGGTAGGGTGCACGCCAAATTCATATACTTGGCCAAGACTGCACCTATTGCAAAGTCACTAGCGTTTGTCTTTAATATAATTCTATAATTAGAATTCAAGAACCTTAAGCTAGGAGCAGTAAAAAATATGTTCGAGCTCGTTGTGGGAGTTAACTCTAATAAATTACGTGCTCATACCACGCAGCTGTCTGATTAGGCACCCCGCGACTACTTACAAGTTTTAATCATGTGCTTTATACCACGTGGCTACCATGTGTCGTAGCAGGCGCCTCTACGTCTGTCCTCAGTTTTGTACAATTTGTATTTATTTCTTCCCTGAGGGTTAAATACCCTTCCTTTACGGGATAATCGCTCCTCCTCTTTTCTCCTATTTCTTCGTAAAAACCGACATTAAAATTTAGCAAAGTTAAAAAATTTTCGTAGCTGTTTCTTAATTCTAAAAGGAGTTCAAATTGAGGTTCAACTTCACTTTAGAGAAATTTATTTTAATAACTCAATTGAATAATATAATTTTAAGAAATTTATAAATTACATCAAAAAAACATTTATCCGGATTATCTATTAGGCCATGCCTTCTAAAGGTGCTTAAGACCAATTGAACACTATTTCTTGATTTTGATGTTCTTACTATATATTAACAAGTCCTCTAAGTAAATTGCTATGTATATTCCCTAGAAGTATGATTTAAAAGCATTAAAGACAGTTAAGACATTGGACATTCAATAGAGGTAATCTGGTATTCATAAAGCCGAATTGCAGACTTCCACTTCCCCCCCCCCCCCCCCCACCACCTCCCTTTTTGTAGGTACTAAGCTTTATGTGTTAGGTTAGTCAGTCGAATGGAAACCTTTAAACTCGCTAGAGAAGATAAGTTAATCTACTGAAGGCAATGGAAAACTATTGCCATGGTTTTTGAGTTAAGGTAATAATAATAAACGCAAAATCGTATAGAAAAGTCGAAGTACAGTCTTTTATTCGTCTCCTTTTCTGTAGGTACTGAGTTAAATGCATTAGGTAAGTTCAGAAGAGTGAAAACGATCTTTTAAATATAACGGAAAGTTGTCTCACATGGCCCTTAAATTAAGGTCATGATAATCAACACCTAAGCCGCTAACCTATAATATACTCATAAATTTAGTTAAGCGCTGCACTAGAAAGGGTATGCTTTCTTATTACTTAGCAAAGCCAAGCTTTCTACCAAAGAGATAATTAAGACATACGTGCAATGATGTGGAATTCAAAAACCTTTACAAGAACTTTATCTTGAATGAAGTACATCTTACAATCCTAACACTTTAATAGGATGGAGCGTAGCGCTTCTCCATAACTATGGTAGATAGGTAAAGCTTTAAACTATTTTTAAAATACTTTGGAGAAATCTAAAAATACCTGCACACTTCTTGGCTAATAAAATTAGCAAAAATAGCTTCCTCAGTTTCAGGTTAATCGCAAAGTAGAGGATTAAGCGTCAAAGTCATGTTTTGCCAATCAATTATGGAATTGTAACTTTAGGGCTAAGGATGGCCAAAAGCAACAGGGTACCTTTTAAGTTTAGCTTAAGGATTGGGAATGATATACTATTAGGCCCAAGGTTATGATTAAGTTATTCATTCTTGTGTAAAAGGATATTACTGTGCAATCATTTAATTTAAGGAAAGCTGCGGAACCTAGTGGTATTCTTAACTAAATGCTTAAGAACCTAACAATACAAGCTAGTATTCTGCGGTGAAGGTTATATCACCAAATACTTACTCGCACCTATTTTTCAGAACATTAAAAATTAACAAAAATTATATATATATATATATTAAAAAGCAAACTCTCCATTCTTACTATTAAAGACTATAGATTCGCCTGTAAAGGTGGCGGAAACAATTATTTGTTTTGTCATTTTTTCTAATCGATTTTAACTTAGACGGGTCCTGAGAATGATGGATGCTTCATGCTCATTGTTATGATTTGATTTGGAGGAACAAGTGCGCGTAGACACCCTAAGACCAGGAAGTTAACCCTGCGCCACTGATTTTACGCCTCAATACGCCAATACTTTCACACTGCTGCTGGATGTACTTCTTGTTAGTAAGTGCGGTTATTAGATTTATAGAATCTTCTGGCACAATTAGTCTAAACTGCACCGTGGAGGCGAAAAGTACTTTTAATAAAATTTAAAAGTTATAGTTTTCAAAATAATAACCTTTAAAAATTCTCTATTAAATTTTTTTTAAATTAATCATAATAATTTAAAAAACTTGAAGGTATTATGATTTTTTAATTAAATTTTAATGACTAAGCCATTAACGCACCTCGAGAAACTTTTTTTATCGCGCGGTGGTGGGGTGGTTTTTCTTGAGCTGGGTAGCGGCACTGGGTCTGTGAGATTAATGGTTTGTAGTTCATAGTTTCTGTACTAAATTAGTTATTTGGTCGCTAAACAAATTAATTAAAATTCTGCACACAACGTATGTTAATCACCATGAGCTTATAAAGAGATATTCTGCGAGAAGAGCCTAGAGTTATTAGCTTACGAGATTAATTCTTTTTACCTAAAGTAAAAGTTGAAGAGTCGATTTAAAAAAACGAAGTTATTAAAAGCAGCTTAAGAATCCAGAATATCATTAACAGCCGAGACCTAATTTAAAGAAATGAAAACCATAGAAGATAAACTGGTGATCTTTCAGTAATAGTCGCAAACTTTTCAACTCCCCTCGGAATTCTACAATAATATAAAATGGACGTGCTATTAAGTACTTTCCAAACGCATGAGTTAATAAGTTATAATTAGAGCACTATAATACAGCGACAACTCCCTAATGTTCTTTTAAGCTCTGCTTTAAGCAGAATACAGACAAAGAACTAAAAGCTATTACCTTTTTTTTCCTATAAGCAATCCTTCCACATTACGATATACCTAATCTTTAGAGTCAACAAAGAAACCGAAGCTTAAGTGCTGTCTTGGGTACTCTAAAGAACTTTAAAGTTAACTGCCTTCAAAAAGTCAACCTCTTCAAGGAAGGCTTTTTCACTCAATAACCAAATAATAACTCCGGCATTCCCCAAACTTTTGAAATTTTTACTGTCGTACACATGCATTGAATATACTATAACTTAGCAGGCCTGGGGGGTTTATTAATTTTGAACGTTTTAAAGCCATTACTTTAGTAAGCTATTACATACTATCATATTTTCGTTGATTAATAAAAATATATTCTTGTATGTCCATTTAAACAATAGTAAAGTATCTCTTTCAAAAAAAAAATTATTAGCAGGAATCATAATTCATATAATACATCTAAAAACAATAGCATCCTGATCATTAAAGTTATACAGACAACAATAAATATAACAATATACACATTAAAATTGTAGTATTACAAATTTACAAAAAAAGATATAGAGGTAAACGTTTATTGACCATGTATACGCTTCAAAGCCGTCAAGAAAATCATTTTTAAAAAAATGCTTTAGAACCAATTGGACCGGTTTACAGGTCGAATGCATAGCTATAATATCAAACCTTGTTAATTTTCACAACATTCCCTTTTTAATTAGAAAAAAGTATTTTTTTTCGTTCATGATATCCTTGTAATAAGATATTTATTTTTTTTACATAAATTTTTTTTACATGGACACGCCATGAGAAATTACTGAGATAAAATTAAATAGGTTTTAAGCTGTTAATCATAATATTTAATATGAATAAGAGGCTCGTAAAGGGGTTGCGCGCTTTTACTATTACTATCCCACACTTATATACGACTTTTTGCTTAAAGTTGTGGCAGTTGTGTCAGTTCCTTTCACCCGTCCTTTCTCTAATAAGTAATAATGTCCCCTCTTTTGTCTAAACTACCAAGTTTTCAAAGCGAGAATTTTTCGGCACTAAGCTGTATTATGAAACCTTGCTGTCAAACTTTAATACCCAAGGTTGAAATATTTTTAATTTCACAAGCAAGTTAAATTCAATTTTTTTTTAAATATTGGCTTTGCTTTTAATTTTTTTAATAAATATGTTTTTAGTTTTATCTAGCCACCCATGATTATACGAAGCCACCTGAAGGCCAGTTTATTACAACCGAAAAAGTTAGCTTCATATCAAGAGCGCTCCTGAATAAAAGTCTTAAATTTCAAAGTTGTGTAGATGAAGTTCAAAAAAAGGATGAGAAAAATTTGTTGAATAAGTTGAGTAAGAAACGATTCAATACTGAAAATGAGTGCCCGATGTTTAACAGTAAAAAATTTAAACCGGCCTGACTCAGAATTAAAAGAGAAAGACTTAAGCCCGATTCACCTTTAAGGAAACTTTTTGAAGAAAAAATCTAATTAATATTTATTTTATATTATATTCAATATCTCTTTTAAATTATTAGAATAGCCCGCTCATAATATACTTTACTTAGCCTTTTTAGTTAACTAAATATTCTTTTCCAGCAGTAGTGATTTATTATTATTATTTGATTGGCATCTGTTACATGAATATATTACTATTTTTATTAGCCTTAAGATAGTTTAAGCATATTTATAAAAAAAACTTTATTGATTATATTTTAAAATTTTAGCAATCGACTCTGGTTTATGAGCATTTCAGCGTCGAGTTCCGCTTCACCCCAACTTAAATCTTTAACTTTTGTTTAAATATATTATATATTTGAATGTTAATTTTCATAAAGATCATTTAGTACAAAAATCGTTTTCATAAAAATTTTGCAGGGAGTTCTTATCTATTTCGTAAATTTCTTCCATTGCCCTGCTAGCAGTCGTTTCGTTATATTTCAAACTCGTGTCGAAAGTGGAATCAGAAAATTGCAAAGGTTTCAAAAGTTCATCCATAACGCCATCCAATTCTGTTTTTATGGGTTCCTCTTCTATTGCATACGAAAAACAATTAGATTACTTTAAATTAAATTTAAAAAAGAAAAAACTCTCGGGAGGAGGAGCGTACTCGATCTCTTCTACTTCCTCTAAATCCTCTACAGTGACTATTTTATATAAAAAAGTTTAAGTTAGTTTTTCATAAAAGTTTAAATGGAAACTCAGACTTTTAATTCTCATGATTTAGGAGAAGGACCTTTATCCAAGTATATTCCAAAGGAATTTAATTTTTCCGGTTTTTGATAATCCAAAGACTTTTTTCCTGTTTAAAAAAAGAATAGTAACAACATTATTAATATTTTTTTAATTTAAACCTTCGCTTGGAGTTAAAAATATGCGCTTCTCTTTTTTAGAGCTGTTTTTGGTTAATAATTTATTGCTGACATCTCCCAAAGCTTTCCTTGTACTCGCAAACAAAAGGGGAGTCTTGCAGTCACCCTTTAGTTTTAAGGTAGACTTTCGTACACCTAAAAATTTAGTGTTTCTTTAAATGTACAAATGAATAGCGCATATATAACTAGCCCTGATTAAAAGATTTATAACTATGCATTAATTTATTAATAATGGATAAGCAATAGTGTCGCTGAAATACCAAAAGCAACATTTTCCTTCCTTAAGGGAGTTTTAGCCATACGCTCGACTAGTTATTAAAGTTTATTGTTAACCAGCTAAAAGTAAAGAACTGCTAATTTTATAAGAGTAGTAGATTTACCCGAGTTTTCATCTTTGAGAGCTTGCATTCTTGTTAAGTAATAATAAAAATATAAGCTTTTTCAACGTAAATTTTTTTAACTTCTTAAACTTCTATTTTTTTTATTATTAAGTTGCTTTGCGTAAATAATAAGTAGACGGAAACGTTTAACCTGAAAAGGCGATATTAAACTTTTTTTTTAACAAAATTTAGTAGCTTTGAGGCGTCTTGCTTCCAGCATAACTGATAAAAACCACCATTTAATTTTTTGTGGTTTTGTTTGGCTTTCTTTGGGCCCAATTGCGTATAAAATTTTGAGAAAATAAAATTTTTTTTTTAGTTTTTTTCTGTGTTCTTTATAGGTGTGCCCACTTAGAGTTAAAAAAATATAAAAGGTTTGCGCGTACATTGAATTCTATAATAGTTTACCATAGTGCATAAACTTACATAAGTGACATATACAAACTTTGGTAGGAACAAGTAGCATTTAACACTAACAAAAATGTTGAAAAGTGAGCCACAATTTTACTTTATAAAAATTTACTCTACGACCAAGTTAACTTTATTAAATATATTTAGAATAGACGCTAATATTGCCTTAGTGCAGAATCCTAGTTTCAATGACTCTTCGGTTTAAGTAGTTAACTATTACAGAATTGCTGGCAAACCAAATCATTGCTCTAAAGATATAGGATTGTGTCCCAAGTTATTTTCTTATTAACAGAAGTGTTAATATTGTAACAAGTTATCAAATACCGTGTTATAGACTCTGACAGTTGCAGCCTCACTTATAAATTCTAAATGTATTATGGTGAACAATATAAGGTATGCATTGTTAAGTAACCTCACTCGTATGTATACCATCTTACGGGAGGGTGAGTAACTACAAGATGGCTTGTTCAGTAATTTATTTGTAAAATTAAGCGTTCAATGAATCTCCTTGAGGGGGGCCATCCTAAAATTACTAATTTTTTAAGGAATTAATAGGGAAAAGACTGTTTCGCCCCACAGGACATTAATAAGATTTACCGTCAAAGATGATATTTTAAAATCCAAACTCAGCTTTCCTATGGGCATAAAGAACTGAGGATAGTTAAGATAACCCAATATAGTAAAGTAGCTTTGCGAGTTACCACTTCACTTTTTTATAATTATAATTATCGACAATATTTATAAAGAAAAGCTATAATAGCTGCATTTCATTTTCTTGAATTTTATTTTTTCTTTAATTTATTTTTATTTTAGTTTATTTTAATTTTATATGATTTTATCATGTTTTATTTCACTTCATTTGAATCATTTCTAAGGCTGCTAATAAACGTTTTCCTGAGTGCTGGCTTTATACATTAAACTTAATTTGACCTTGTGCGGATTTGCGCAGGTAACCATTTGTGGGCCGTGACCGCAGAAGGTTAGTCCTGTTTAGCAACTATTTAACGAAACTAACAGGAGTCACTATGTCATTTTTCAACAACCACCAGTCAGTTGAAGAAATAATGACCGTAAAAAGGAGAAACATGACTTTTCTCTTTTTCGTTCTACTTAATGTTGAGGAAAAGATCTCCGTTCATGTTTTAATGCAAATTACCATTTTTAGGCAATTTTATGATTATTAATTATTTCATTGCTTAGTTGTTAGTATATAATGAAATTTCACAAAAAATAAACCGGCAGGCGTGCTAATATTTTAGTGCTCTTTTTTGTTTTGGTCACATCTGTACATCCATATCTATACATATATATTTGTTTACAATTAATTTTAACGGGCTTAAAGGTTTAGATACCAGTCAGTAAAGGTTTAAATACCCTAACAACCTTAGTAGAACATTTTATTGAGCTGGCATTTCTAGACTTTAGTTCCTTATTTTGTTCTACTAAAATAGCAGAAAGCACCTATTTGTTAGCCGCAAATAACTACTAAAACTTTTTTATATTTACTAGGTATTATCACTTAAATTTTTTCTTTTTTTTAAGGTAAAAGCTCTCAAACAGATACTACTTGGGTAGAACAAACTACTTAACAACCAACGGTCTTGTTCGTTAGCCAGAAACTTGGAGCTATAAAATAGTATTTAGTTTTGTGGTAACATTAAAACTGATTTGATGCAACATTTACGTAATGAATGCTGGCATTGCCTGCAGAAGTCGTTTCTTTTCAGACTCGAGACAAGCAGAGCCTGTGGAAATTTGGTTTTATTTCTATTGCTTTTACCCAGAAAAAGGCTCCAACTTTAATTTTTTTCATGTTTGTCTGGGTGGTAGCACTCTTTTGACGTATGAAGAGACCATTTTTTTAAAAGTTCTAAAAATCCGTTATATGAGTATGGTAATTTCCTCATCTTCTCGTTGCTTGGCGCTTGTACCAGCGCTGTGTATCTTACCTTTTAAACACTTCTATCTTACATTCTTAAACGCTTGTCTTGCGCAAGCAACCTTGTTTCACGATTTCTCTCCGTTTCTTAGTAAACCATATGCATATTAGGTATAAACACTTATATTACTAACTTATAAAGGCAGGTAACCTTTTTTTAAAGTAGGCGGACTACCTGTTTTACAGGCGTATTTTAAAAACATTAGTTTACTTGAATCCAGTAAAAGTAAAAAAATTTTTACATATTTTTTTGTAACAAACTTTTCGAAGTGTACTAACCTAGCAAATTAATATAGTTACTGCTTTAGCAATAGTCTTTGAAAGTTTAGATTATCAACGCTTAAAATAAGTTTGCTAGAAGTTATTATATTCTCGTGGTCGCCTACTGTTTACTATTCAGCCTGGTTTTTAAAGATTTGGAAGACTTTAAATTTATATATAAGGAAGTATACGTCAAATAGTTTATTTACTCGAGAATTTCAGTTCAGTCAAATTAATTAGAGCTACGTAATAGAGTCCATCTTTCGTTCAAAGTTATTATTTTTGACTTTTAAATTTAGTACTAACGCTATTTTAGTTAAAATAATATAAAATTTTTTCTATAATACTTGATTTTATATATTTGTACACAATGTAAGCGGAATGTTCTTGAAGGTTCCCGAATGGTTCGTATTGGACCCTAGCATGTGCCTCAATTTTAATGTACAAATAGCTTCTATGAAAGATCCGCAAGGGCAGCCCTTTTTCTGAGGTGTGACGAGGCTTGCGCGGGAGTTGGACTCATGTGCGGTTGTTGATTCAGTGCGTGTTCGTTTGTGAATCCGGTGGGCAACGCCACAAAACTGTTGGTATATAATTCTTGTATTTCTCCGCTGCCTTTTTAGGCGCCATAGTTGGGCATTACGTAAGAAGAGTGTGTGGTTTTACAAACAGCAATAATAAGAGTCGAAATACTTTAACCTTAATATAATAAATTTAAAAGCAAATAATTTACTTGCACATATTTTTATTGAATTTACTGTGATTTAGTTATTCAACGAAGATAAACTTTTTCTTATAAACAGTAGAATTCTTTAAAGATAAGTGACAATCGAAAAGTAAAAAATATTTCCCTTCTTTTAAAAAAAGAACTTCCACGCAGCGAAAAATAGAAGACCCTCCTTGTAGATCCTTAAAAAAATATTTAGAAGATAATAATAATTGTAATTTCGAAGAAAAAAATTAAAAAAAATGCTCTTAATTTTTTATTATTACAATAAACTTTTATACAAAAAGATAGTTGTCACTGAAGACGATAGAATTACTAATCCACAAAAGATTTTATAAAAAATCAATCTTATTAAAAGTTAACGGATTAGTTATTAAATAATCATTAAAATTTTTTTATTGAGTACTGAAAATCCATTTAATATTTAAAAAAGGTTAAATATAGTATAAAAGTTTATTTTTAATTGTACTTTTCAAAAGAACTTTGATTTTAACTTTACTTATAAAGATTAAAGTTACTGACTAAAAAATAATTATTATCATCGAATGAAATAAACCTATAGTAATAAAGCTACATCAAAATTATATTAATTAAAATTTATAAAAATAATTACGCTAATATCATTTTTCCACGAGCCATATTTGATAAAATTATCTTTAGTACTGAATATTTTCTTTCCGTATCGTGAATCATGAAAAAGATTTATTTTAAATTCCATGGAAGGATATGAAGTATCTTAAAAGTACAAGAAAGAGTAAAAGATTTATAATATTTAAACCAAAAAAGCAAATTTATTTATTGTATACTTTTTTAAATAATAGCAAAAAATTCACTTAAATTGATAACAGTTTAAGAAAATGTAAAAGCTTTAGTTAATTTACTTTGACGTATAACTTTTTCAAGTAATTGAAAAAAATATCTTATAATCCAATTACATGCGTAGAAGTTTTATATTAAATAAATTTAAAAGAAAGCATATTTACTAAATATTTTTAATTAATTTTATACATAAAAAAGACTCGTTGAAGAAAATGAAAAATTTTTATATTACTTGAAGTAAAAAAAGATTAATACACTCTCACAAAATTAAGGTAATTTAAGCTGTCGTATAAAATATCAATATAATATAATCTTTGTGCCTTTTTTTTAAAAAAAATTAATTCGAATTTAAATATTTTTGCTTTCTTGAAATTTTTATATGCAAAATAGTACAATAATGCCTTGAAAGTTATTTGTTTTTAAGTAATATAAACTAATTTATTGCAGCCAAATTTAATTATAGAAAAAACTGTAATTAATTTTTTTTCTTTAAGTTTTTAGCAATTTTTTATTGTAATTAAAGTAGAATAAATATTTTAAAAGTTCAAAATTTGGAAGATAAAACTTTAATCCATTATTAATATTCTAATCTTTACAACTAGATTTTGACTTTTTTAAACAAGATAAAATCTAAAAACACCGAACTTAAAACTTTTTTTAATTAAATTTATATAAGTAAAATAAATTTATAGTTTAAAAAAGTTAATTTTTCTTAATAACTTAAAATTTAGTAATAATTTGTATCTTTTAAGATAAATTAAATTAAATAAAAAAATATTTAAAGTTATACTATTTTAAAATAAACTAACTTATTAATATTATTTACTAATTAATAAAAAGCACAAATTTTATATAAAAGTTTTCGGATTCTATTAACATTAAGAAAAATAAATTCACTTATTTATTTTTATATACTTTTTATGTATTGTATTAAACAACTAAATTAATCTACAAAATAGTTATGACAAATTTAAATTATTTTATAAATAATAAATCAAATCTCTTCCTCAATTTTTATTTTACTTTTCAAAAAATTATTTATTTTTAATATTATTTATTATTATTAGTGTTTTATAATTTTTAAATTTATTTAACGTTAAAACTTTTTCCTAAAATTTTTTAAATTATTATTATTATAAATTTATCAACCAAAATTTTTTTTTTACTTTATTTATATTTAAAGGTATATATTTATAAATAATATACACTATTTTGCTTATATATAAAAAAAGCATAAGCAACCTGTAACGTTAGAAATACGCACTTTTACTTTTATGACTTCTTTCTTAACAACTTTAATGGAGTTATTAGAAAAACTCTTCAAAGGAGCTCCGTCGCTCCCCAAAAAGTTAATATCAATACTGAAATAAGAAAAGAAAATTCAATTCATAATTTTTAAAAAAAAATATTTAAAAAAAGTAGTAAACTATAAAATATTCTACTTAACAAAGGGGTTGAAAAGTTTTTATATATTTTAATAAAAAACTAATTGTAAATTAAAATTATGTTTTCGCCGTTTTTTATGTGATTTAGTAGTGAAATTATTTTTCTTGGTTTATTTTTACTTATTATTATTGTGATTACTTTGGTACACATTTTTTCCTCTCAAAAGTTATATATATTGTATATTCCTATTAAAAAATATTAAAATAATGATATTTATTTTTATAAATAAAGTTTTATACATAATATAATTGCATTATATATAGAAAAGTTTACATTCAGTTATATAATAATAATTTAACGTTACAGAATACAAAAGTAAAATTCAAATATTATTATAAATAATATAAAAGAGTAGATATCAATAAAATATTATAAAAAGTTTTATAATACTTTAAAGATTTCTTTTTGTTAAATTTAAATAGTTTATAAAGTTTTATACTTTATATATTTTTATTAAAAAATATTTATTTATATTGAACAGTTTTAATATTAAATACGTTTTAAATTATAATAAAAATATTAAAAAATTAATTTGAAAAATTTAAAAATAAAACTACTATAAAAAATAAATATAGACAGAAAATGAAACATTCTCATAAATTTTCTTATTAATGGTAATAAAAAATATATATTGTGTAGCGCTGAAACAATCCCAATGAGATAATATAATTGGCTAGTAAATACTATGAAAGCAGTCTCACGGGGCTAGAAATAGGCTCGCATTAAATAATACTTAATAACATCATTCGTACTAGTTTTATTTATTATAAATAATAATAAAATTTATATTTATTTACATATTAATAAGTTTTAGAATGAAATAAAATGTTATATTTCTTTACATTCATTAAAAGTTTTATACTTAATGTATTCCAATTAAGAAAGCTTTAAATTATAAAAAGTTAATATCTATTTAGTATTCATATTTTTTTATTAAAAAAAGTTCAATACTTTATATATAATTATCAGAATATTTTTATAATAATAAAAAAATTGTTATATACTTTATATATTCCCAGAGAGAAAGAGAATCGCAGGAAAAAGTCGGGACCATCTCGCAGAGTTTCAGTTTTCCTAATAATATAACGATATGATAATAACAACTTAAATGAAAAACTTTTTCATATTTTATTATTTTTCTTATGATTTTTATTGTTTTACTTTTTTTTATAATTACTTCCTTTATTAATACATACAAAAGTTTTTAAAAAAACAATGTAAAAATAATTTTTTTTTAATAACGTAATATTTTATTCTATAAATTTAAAAAAGTAACATAAAAATTTACTAGAAAGTTTTATTAATATTTTATTATTAGATACAAAAGCTTCTTAGATTATTAAAAGTTATTTATATTTTTATGGTAGCAATCTTTTAAACGTTTGTCCAAAAGCTTTAGTTTTTTTTTTGTTTAACATTATACAAGAAAGTTGGTTAAAAAACATATAGACGAAATATTTTTTTTTATAAACTTTTTAGGATACTTTAACTATTATTGTTACATACTTTAATGCTTTTGTTGTATCCACTAAAAAATTATTTTACTTTATATAAGAAAAACTTTAAAAATTTTTTATAAATGTATATTTTATAAATAACAAACTTATATTAACTTTTGCTATTAGTTTTTTTAAATTTATTATAAAGTTTTATATTATAATTTATTTTACTTTACAACAATTACATATATATATATATATATATATTTATTTTTGTATAAATTTCAATTATTTTTTTTTTAAGGCAAATTGTTTTTTTACTATAATTTATTATAATTGTGTTATGAATAATTTTTTTAAAAGATTTTCACATATATTCAACTTTATTAACTTTTTTGTATTATTATATAATAAATAACAAACAACTAATGATAATAAATTAGATCTCTTAATTATACTTTTACCACTGCCATTTTTATTCATTGTAGTAATTTTTAAATATTAATTTAAATGATAACTTTTCTGGTAATACTTTTATTAATATAATGTATTAGTGTTGCTATTAATAAATTACAACTCTTATAAAGTTTCTAAATTATAACATTTGATATCTATAAATAAAAATTATTGAAAAAAAAATACAATATACTAAAAATAAAATATATAGAATTATACTATGCATTATTTATATTTGTTAATGTCTTATGTTTAATGATCACAATTTATATTTATATAATAACTATTTTTATTTCATTGTATTCTTGAGTTTATGTTTTATTAATTATAAAAAATATTATATAATTCTAGATAACGAAATCGTAATATTTAAAAATGTGATTTAATATAAACTAAATTTACTATAAGTTTCATAAGAACTCTTTAGTATAAAAGTATTATTCATATCTACGAAGTAAAAAAACTTGGAAAAAAGTTAAGTATATTATGTAATAATACTCCAAAACTGTACATAAAGGCGGCATATTTATTAATAAAAGAATTAATAATAATGTTTTTTATAAAAATGAAATGATAATAAAGTAAAAAAAATAGTAATAATAAACTTTTATAACTTAAATTATTATAATAAATAATATAAATAAAGTAAAAAAGATAAAAATAATAATAAAATACTAACAAGAATAATAATATGATAAATTTAAATTATAATAAACAATGATACTCAAACGTATAATAATACTTAATTTTTTAATAAGTCATGAGTATAATTGCATTAAATATACGAGATAAATTCCCAAAAGTATAATAATATTTATAAATAATAATAAATAAATAATTATATATACTTTTTAGTCTGTTAATACTGTAGATAATAATAAATAAATAGTTAATAGTATAATAATTTTATTAAAAATAAGTAATAATATAGTAATAAATATAATAAATAAATAAATAAGGAATTTTATTTTTTGTAGAATTAACAAATAAACAAAAAATGATATTAACAGGTATAATATATTAATATATTGAGTGATAGTTACAAAACAACTCAGGTATAATAATATTGTAAATAATATTTCAAGTAACGATATTAACAAATAATATTATTAGTAAAATAAATAAATATTATAATAAAAGTTTTTAATAATAATGAAAGAAAAAAACATACAAAGTATATTTCAAAAGTATGACAGTAAAAAAATAAATAAGAATTAGTGCTACTAATATTAATTCTACAACAAAAAAAAATAAAATATCAGTTAGCAGTCTACCTTCTATATTAGAAGTTTTCATAAACCACTTCAAACAAACTTTTTCGTATAAATTCTTGAGAATCCCATCTTTATTATTATTAGTCGTATTTTTCATAAAAATCAGCGAAATGCTATCGGATTGCATAAACCATTAGAATTATATAACAATGATTAATTCATTAAGCAAAATTTGGTGTGCGATAATAAGCACCGTTTAGTGCTGATAGGGGGCAAATAAAAGTCTTCTGACACAAAAAAGTAAGCTTCATTACAATTTTCTACAGAAAAAGGGTAAACTTTTATTACAAATATAGTAAAACTATAATCTTAACCAATCAAAGGACGCAAGCGATAAAATAATGACGAAACATTAGACACAGAAAAGGTCAATAGAAAAGGGTGCCCATCCAAGGTCTGACCACATGGAAGGCTATATTTTTTTTCGAGTTGAAGCTTTAGTTGTTTACTATATTCCGTTGGGTGAATATAAAGTTTTGAAAAAGTTAAACTTCTTTGAACCTTTAACACAATAATAATAAAGAAATAATGTAATAGTAATAACGAACTAATAATATAAAATATAGAAAAGTACTTGTAAATTCACTTGTTCTTTAAATTCTCTTTTGTAAGCCGAATGCTCATCGTATCCGTATAAAACGTGAAACGCAATAGCGTTGCTTGGCAACAATTGATGAGTAAAGCAAAGCAAAGCATTAATAATAATGATAATAAATATACGTTATACATATAATACTACTAACATTAAAAATTTTGAAAGCTTTTATAATATTTTTCAATTCATTATTATGACTTATAAAAAAAATATATCCATGGTAGTCATTATATATTTTCATATCCACGCCATATAAAAAGTTATCCAATAAAAAAAGAATAGTAGGACCAACCAATTGAAAAGACTTTTTATATGCACCGGAATAATAAGTTGTTGTCCTTTCACTAATAATTATAATTATTATTATTATAATGATAATAATAATTACCTGAAAGTAAAGGTAAGCCTCCCTTCATAGACGATGTATTGAAACATAATGACTCGGAGTTTTTATTATTATTACTAATACTATTATCATTATTATTATTGTTACCATTATTATTATTATTATTATTATTATTATTATTATTATTATTATTATTATTATTATTATTATTATTATTATTATTATTATTATTATTATTGCAGGACTTCAATAAAAGCAAATATTCTAAAGTAGTTGAAGGCTCTGTAAAAGTTGCACGGGCTGTTACTTTGCAAAAGTTGACTGCATTCTATAAATTCACAAAAAATAATAAAGAAATGTTTGCACGATATATAGCGAATACTTCTCCAATATTTTTAAGTCGAATGAATGTTTCAATATGTTGGCCTTCCAGTAGTTTCACAGCCATTCTGTTGGGGCCGCTGCAAAGACCGTGCTTTATAGATAACTTTGGAACACTGGAAACTACAAGCATCTCCTCGTGTATAGCAAAATTTATTAAAATATATTATTACTGTTGTTATATATTTAATGATTACTCCTAGTTATTCCATATCTGTTATAAAACATTTACAACTATTACTTTTTATTATTTTTAAGGGTCATATTATAATTACTTAAATTATTGCTCTTTATTATTCTTAAGGTGTATATTATTACCTATTAATATATTACTATTACTATTAATTATTCTAACGAAATGTGTAATATTATTATTAGCTATAAAAATTATTACTATCTATTATTTCTATTACTAAAAAAATTAATAATTACTATTACTACTAATAAAAGTTATAAGGTGTGTAATTATTTAATTAAACATTATCATAATTATTATTATTTTTTCAGAGTTTCCATTATTATAAATAAATATTTATTACTATTTATTATTTTTATGGAGTGTATATTAAATATATTTTATGAAGCATAATGGTATTACTTATAAATAAGAAAATTTTTGGAGGACGAGTATATTTAGAGTCCACCAATGGTCAGTAACTTCTAAATAAGTTTTTTTTATAATATTTTGGCTCTTTTTTTTTGGTGGGAATAGACCAATCAATATTGTTACGTTGCATATTCCACGTGTGGTATATAATAATTTTACTAAATTAATAACTTTTCTTGTTTTTGCAGCAGCACAGTGCCCTATTCACAACAGTCTAGCTGGTTCCTTTTACCGGAACTTTTATCAAGTCTTTCTGTACATACCCCTTTATATGAATATATTGTTAACTTATTATCAGTATTTACTATCTAATATTTATTAATATTATTTTAATAATCAAGCTTTTAACTTCAATATTAAATTATTACATTGAAAAAATAATAATAAAAACTTTTAATAATAGTAAGGAATGCTTATAATTTATTTATCGAAAATATACTAACTATTATTAACTATTTTGTATTTATTTATCATTATTATTGTAATAATTTATAATGTGCCATTATTTAAAAAATATAAATATTGAATAATGGTATCAAATCAATAAATATGAACTTTTATATTAAAAATAATAGAGAATACATGCTCTACATTATTTATTAAACATATAGTTATTATTGCTGCCTGTTTAATAATGTCATGTTTAAAGTAAATATTGAATTACTATATTAAAATAATAATAATGATAATAATGACAGTGGTTTACCTCTTTACCCTTATTGGACCGGCTGGGCCATGGATGTTCAATTTCAATGCCAAATAGCGTAACCGCAATGCCTATAGTAGCCGATATGATCATTTGGCAGGCGCCGCCATGGGATAAAAAATTTTGAATTGGCAATATCCAACCGTCAATATGAAGGATCCCTTCTTCTTGGGGTTGGCCGTTGAGAACAACAACGTGGTTGGCTGTATTGGCTTTCAGAAAGACAGCCGTACAAAATGATTCGAACTTTAGTGAAAATAGAAAAGTATAAAATAAGAAGAACAAGGAATCGAATACTTTTGCACCCGAACTTTTCAGTAGCATTTTACTAATTTTCATATCAAAAGCCATTGAATTACGTAAAGTTACTTCAAAGGAAACAATTTCATTGACAGGCCAGACCTTTCGTTTTCTAATAAAAAATAAAAAAAAAAACAAATTATCGTAATAATAATAAATATATAAGGTATAAACCTTTTAATAGCTAAAGGATTGTAAATAAAAATACTGGGAGCCTCAGAGGGCCTCGTATTGATGAGTTTATATTCCTCAGGAAGTTCGCGAACTCGAATGTCCACAATCTTAGATATAATTGGTTAAAAATTAAGAAAAAAGGTTAAATTGGGCCCATCAAAGAGCGAGAATTTAATTAGAAAAGGAAGTGGAGTTGTAGCCAAGGAGAGCTGATATTACTTTACTTTAATTGAATCACTATAATTAGTGAAGGGGAAAAGAGGAGAAGCGCTCATATTATTGTCTCGTGAAGAAAAGAGGTCTATGCCTTTATAAAAGTAATCCAAGATTGTGAAGCAGGAGAGAACACGCGCAATGACACGTAAATATATTACGGCGAACGAGCACATGGTACGGACAAATGGTTTACGTACCTAAAGGTATATGAGCACGTGATTTAATTAGAGTTAACTCCAGTCAATAATCACACTTATTGCTCATAGGCAAATATGACCGTAACAATAATAAATAGAAAGATAATAAAACATAATTAAAAGCCAGAAGCTTCATTAAAAATTATAGTAAACCATTAAAGAAAGTAGTAAAATAATATTTTTATATATAATCTTTACAATTTTTTATGTGAAAGACTATGTAACAACACAATATATATGTATATATCTGGTTAAAAGCAAACTTATAAGTTAGGAACCAAACATAATAAGTGATAAATAAGAATAAATAAATAATATTATAAAATAGTATAGAGATAATATAAAGTAAAAACGTGAAATAAATAATTATTATTTATTATTACTGTATTAGCACAAGGAGGAAACACCTAATTAATATATTATAGGTTGACCGCCCACGTTAAACTGGAATAGCTTTAAATAAGCTTGTGTTTTAAAACACTTACTGCCCACAAAATTAACTTGCTAACTCGCCAAATAGTATAACTAAAATCTAACTGAATTGAGAAAAACGAAATGAATAGAGTGTAACATGCTAAAATTGGGTCCAATAGAATTGGGTAGGCAACAATGCCTCATTTAACAATAATGACCTAGTATTACTTTACTACACATTTCCATTTTTAAACATTAAAATTTATAAAAAGGTAACAAATTAAATAATTATTGGTCGAACTACCCCGAAGTATATTATTAATGAAGTCAACAATATTACATTAGCCAATCGGCATACCAGAGATAAATAAATGAGAAGTGCCATAACAAATAAAAACGTGTCAAAAATATATATTATTATGAGAATACTACCAAATAATATTTATAAACGTCATCTTTATTAGCCAATCAATATGCGACATATAAATTAGATAACCTTTTTTTAAAATATATATGAAAACTTATATTGTAGCAATATAGATAATTTTTATCCAACAAACGTCCAAAATAAATTAAAAATGAAGTCATCGATAATAAATCAGCCAATCCATTTACGAGTGTTTTACCACTTGAAAATATATACAAACTAAAAAAGTAACAATAAAATTCGTTCAAACTGCCGAAATAATTATAATAAACTGCCAATCATAATCAATTGAACCAAGTAAGCGAATAAATTTTAATAATATTAACAACTTTTGGGAAATCATTCCAATTATTGAAAATATGGCGGGAACTCAACTTCACGGCGACACTCTCAAGAAGAACTGCAAAACTTTTCTGCTGCGCTACAGTTAACTTTTCGTGCATTACTCTGAAAGCATATGAAACATACCTTTAAAGGTAATATGGAAAAAAAATTCATCAGTAGCTTTTTCACAAAAAATAATGAATAAAAACCTTACTCAACTATTTTTTCAGGATCATTAGTAAATTTGGCGGAATTAATCAAATCCTGAAGGACCTACACTTCAAAAAATAGTATAAATACTAATAATAAAAAAGGGTAATCGTTATAAACATTATATTGTAGTGCTGGCCAGCCAACAGACAATCTTTCCGAATTATCATTGGTTAAAGAGTTTCGCTGAAGCCCTTCATGAATAGAAAATTCGCGGCGCTTAAAAAAAATCTCAATTTAGTAAAACCATGTATTTTGTAAGCCTCCAATGACTGTAAAGTCAGCCTTTCTACAATATGCCATTGGTAAGAGGAGAACAACTGAGAGACGTGCTGGACTATTGGCCTGAAATATAAAGAGTATTTACATATAATATTCATTGTTGAGTTGTTAACGGTCATTAAAAAATTAATATAATTCTGTGAAGCTTTTATTTAATTATAACAATAACTAAAGTAAACAAGATGCAATATAAATAATGAAAACACCTCATAAAAAAAGCTACTTTTCTTTTGAAACCCAACATTTTATGAAAGTTTACCGCCGCTTTGTAATAGGCTAATAAGTCTGAAATATAAGCGTATAAAAGTTTTATTATAATAACCATTTCTGAAAAAAAGTTATTATATATAAAATTTATTTATTAAAAAGCAATAAGCAGTTGTTACTGAAAAACAATTCCATATGCCAAAAAATATAAAAATATTGAAAAGTTTTTTATGCACAAACTCACGTGATTCTTGGGAGCCTGCAGTTTTTATTGGTGCTTGTGATAACAAATTTAAAGCTTTGCGCTTCATATTTTTTGACAAATAGAAACAGCCGAGCTTAAAGACGCACGAGAATGTTAAAAGGAAGCCGAACGGTTGGGTCTTCTGGTAAGTGCTGCAAGTATCAAGTATTAAATAATAATAATAATGATAGTATATATATAATTATAAGTATAAAAATAGCAGTAGCAATGGAAAGCTGCTTCTATAAACTTTAACATAACAAGAAGTTTTTCTTAAAAAAATAATTAATATGAAAATATAAAAGTAAAAATATATGTAAAATGTTTAAAGTTACTATATTACTGTTATTATACTAATGAAACGAACGAAATAGCATCGTTCATGTGTCCAATAATAAGTTCGTTGACATCCGGATCAAGAGAATTTATTTTTTTAATATACAACGCTGAAGCATATCCTTAAAAATAATAATAAAATGAAGCAAGTCCATAGTGAAATCAACAATAAAAAATTGTAATAATTGAAAAGGATATAAAAAGTTTTACCTTCTAAACTTAATCCATAAAACAGCCAGTCATGAGACTTGGTCAGCTCTACTGCCGTTTGGTAGCTGCAGAGCGCATGGTCTGCTAAATTGCACATCAAGTAGAGATCTCCTTTCAATAATTATAATTTTTTAAATAATAATTTCAACTTTATTCAAATCGACTGTTTTAAAAAAAATGATTTTTATTAATAAAACAAAAAAAATTTGAAAAATAAATTTCTAACTTATTTTTTTAGGAATTTTAAATTATATTAATTCTTATATTTCAGTAAAAAGGTTGAACAATCTCAAAATGGTAAAAAGTTAATTATAGCAATTTACTTTTATATAGTAAATACCAATCGTCTTATCGATTTTTCCGGGAATCGTTGGAAGGTCATCATTACTCAACAACTTTTTTTTATATTAAGTGTATTAATAATGTTATCTGTTTTATTAAAGTTTTGTTTGTTTGTATATATATATATATATATATATAATTTTCCACTTGATAGTGGTATTAAAATTATTTTAAAAAAAAGTTTAAGTATTTTTTAAGCTAGATTTAAAATTCCTTCTTATAAACCAAAATAAAAAAAAGCAAAGAGGAACACAGAAAAAAATAGGCTTGAAAATCATTACTATAAAAAAAATAAAAACTTCTTGATATATTAAAATTATTTTGTAAAAAATTAATAAGAAATCTAATTTACTATGGAAATAAAAAATTTACACAAACAATATGTATTATAAACTTAAAATAAAGGAAAATATAGTTGCTGTACTGCACCTTTTCAAAAGCACCTCGTATTTGGAGAAAAGTTTTAGGCCGTCCTGAATTATATTTTTCTGCTAAACTGTATAAGTCATCCAGCAGCGCCGCAGCAAAATCCATCATAATAGTGTTAGTGTAAAAGTACAATTGATTTTCGTTCTGCAGAGAAATTTTATATCACAAAGTAGTCTGCTTTAGTTATAGTTGCTTTTATAATAAGAAAAAAGAAATGTAAATTCCATAAAAGTTTCAACTTTTATTTAACACATATTTATTAATGTTAACTTAATAAAGATATATTTAATAGTAATTAATTACTTGATGAGGAACTAAAATTATATTAGGAAAAGAATCTGTTTGATCATCGTGAGGTTCAAATGCAAGACACCGGCTTTCCAGTAAATCACTTTCCAGTAGTGATTCCAGAATTAATGGAATTCATTGAGTAAATTAATATAAAAGTATATAAAATTTATTGATGTATAAAATTGATATTTAAATTATAATTTCAGTAGTAATATAAGAATTATTACTATATAAATTTTATTGAAATAATTTGTTAATAAAGAAAGACTTAAAATTTAAAGAATCCGTGAGAAAAATAATAAAATTTTCGCAAGTATAATTATTATCCTACAGTACTTCCAAATAATCCTTAATGTCCATTAAATAAAAATAAAAAATACCTTGCGCTTTGCTAAGAAATACATATATATAAACTTTAAATATATAAACAGGAAATAGTAATCAAATTTCTTATTTTTAAACTAACCTTTTAGAAGCAGCTAATTTAGAAAATTCTTCGGAAACAACGCTTAAGCTAAACTGTGTTTGACAGTCTGCTATACCAATTAACTTTTTTTTTTACCTTAAAAGCTGTAGAATTTAGAAAACAGTAAAACTACTTACGCCAACTATTTTCCAGCTGTAAAAAAGTTCTTGAAAATTTTCAACACCAGACAGAGATCTTATAAAACGAAAACGTAACTGGCCCGTTGAAGCTAAATATTCTAAGGTTTTTAAAAGTATGAAAAAAATAATTTTATACGTTTTATTATACATACGTAAGTTATCGTGTACAGATGTCAATTCTGAGATTTTGGGAGAATGGAAGGAAGTTATTAATTCGTAGTACTTTTGAAATTTTTCAATGGTTATCGCTCCAATGCTTACCACCAGGACAGTAATCATAGAATTAGATAAAAGATAATCTTCAGGTTCAAACATCGTTGTATCACAATTCGTGACTAAAGAATAAATTTTGGTAAATTTACTACTTTACTGACAGTAGTTTTTAATAATTTTAAAAGGAAAAACTTTTCTGTAATTATTAAATTTACCAAAGTCGTTAGTTTAATTATAACAGAGTGTTATTATACAATAAAGTTTGATCAGAGCAATTTCCTTTTAAGTCTACTTTCAGCTATTTCAATGATCTAATGAGACCAGTTAGACTCCAAACCTTTCAAGGAAAGCATATGGCGTCAAACCATTATGTTTGGCCATAACAGCTGGCGCCTTTGTTTATAAAGTTGGCGTACTAAGTCAAAACATAACTTCCTTACTGCTTATCCTTATTCCTTTTATAGAAAAGGGTTTAAGAGTACACTGCAAACGAGGAAAAGTTAACCTTTTATAGTCATCTTTTATAGAGATAAACATCATTAGTTGCATGCTTATCATTATTTATCTAATACTTATTTATCATTTTTATTATTAATATTATTGGTATTAGTAGAGGAAGAGTATTATTATAAGTATTCAGTTTCTTAGCTAATATGGGTAGGGCTCACAGGTGCTTAGGTCTCCTATATTTGGCATACCACTGAGGATGGTAGGTTATCGTAGATAGTAATTTCGTTGGTGCTGTTCTGCTCAAAGCATTTTAATGTGTTTTTTACAATCAGTTCGGTGATAAATCTAATCTTACAGTCTTAGTGCAGATGCCAGTTTCTTATAAACCCGGGACATTTTTACACAGCCGAAGAAAATTATTTTGTAGGATTTCTAGCCTATTTACATAATTCTTAGAGGAGTAGATAAAAGGAAAAGACAACTATGTAGTATAGGTCTTAACATGAATTTATATAGAAGCAGTTTATTACTAAGATTTAACTTTCTCTATTTGCGAAGTAAGGACTATAAAAACGTTAGTTAAGTAGCCTAACTGTGGCCCCCTCTTGAAATCACGGCCAATTACTATTTCAAGGTACTTAGCCTGCTAGCCCCAAAGGAGATCTTTATCAAATAATCGTAAGTTGCTCACTGGGCGATGTTTCCTTCAACGCGAGATCAATAAGGCCCTGCATTTTGTCTGGGTAAGTTTAAGATTATCGGATGCGAAGCAGCTTCAAGGAGTTTTAAGTATGATCGCTTGTATTTATGGCCCTCGGGACTGGTTTAGAACTTTTATAGATGGCAGTATCATCAGCATTCTGCGAAAGGCGGGCAGTGCTGACTGTTACAATATCATTAGTGAAGTGAGAAAACAGCAAAGGGAACAAAAGGGAGCCTTATGGGACACCTGCAGAAAGAGAGCACGAATCGAGGTAAGGGTTTTTATCTTGACTTTAAATATTCTATCTTTTTAAAAAAAACTCAATATATGAAACAGGTAGGTACGAATGAGGGTATTCTAAGGGGGTACACCCAGAAGGCGATATGACAATGGATGAAGCCTTAGTTAAGAAGGTCTTTATATATGGTGGCGTTCCATCTCATACTACATTGTTTCAGACTAGGACTAATCTAAGGAGACACACAGAGTTATATCCTTTTTGTGGTTTAACACCATCAGGCACTTCCATGTAGTATAGAAAGTTATCACAAATTAGAACACTTCCACGTTTAACCTTGCTGTCAGACAGAGAAGTATCCGTACAGATTTAATGTTGGCTACCGGACTAAAAATATTAAGGTAGTCGTCTCCGAATTTTAGCGTTTATCTTTTAGCACAGATGTGACCATCGCATCGATCTATGGTGCTATGGCGCCATTAGCATTACTTTTCACTTTGAAGACCAATTCGTCTACTTCTGCGTTTCGGACCCTCAGCTGTACTTGGAGTAGAGCTTTCAGAAGGTTTCGTAGTTTCACCGGTTTTATAGGATGAGTATTGGTCGTAGTGGGGGCACATCCCGGGTTTGCTGGAGGGGAGGAGATAGATCTATTGGTAGGTATGTACTCTGAGCGCTGAGTTTTAATTACTGTATCCGATTCCTGTATATATCACAAACGCACAATACTTGTCTTGTCAAGTGTTACTGACCCAGTAGGCGCAGGCCTCTAAATTTGCTGGTGGATTCAGCGTACTTTTGCATAAAACGGGCTCATAAATGATTACATCTCTACTGCTTAATAATTTAGAGGCTTTAGGGTCCCAGATGTTAAAGCAATATTTCCTAGGACCCAGACCGATGAAATCCTTTAATGCGTCTATCCCCAGCTATCCAGGCGAAGGTATATAGTTCACAGTATAAGCTCTCGCTCCAAAAAGACGAAAACTCTTCATGTCCGGCTTTCGTAAATCCATTCCTCGATAATAAAAGCAGTAGAGTGGACGTTACGATTGGTACTAGGACAATTCTTAATTTGCGCGCTGTATAATAGAGCTTCCCCCCGGAGGTACTTCAGTAAATCAGAATCAAATAATATAGCACTCACCCTGTTAAATGCTGTCTAATTATTCCTATCAGCAATTCCATGTGGTGTGGGGGGTTGTAACAGTGATGCCTCTACGGGTTAACCCGTCAACGAGCCCTTGGGATAAAATTCCTTTGCATTGTCGCAACGTAAAGTTACCTTACTGTTTTAATGGGGCGTATTACACCCTCAACGTGATCAGGTATACTCTTAAAGGATCACTCTTTTGTCTCAGAAGATACCAGGTAACCTTTCTTGTAAAAGCACAGTCTAAGACAATGCATACCTATAACCACCTTTCGCCGCAGAAGTAATGGGTCCTGCAATTGTCGAAGTACACTATTTCATAAACCCGTGTAGCATTTAAAGAATTTTTCTTGGGGAAGTTCAGTCGTCGTCCCTTCGCTATTCGGCAACACTCGCAGACAGTGCTTCATCGGTGTCCGTGATATTTAAAATTTTGGTGGTATTGTTCTAGATGATGCTCATCAGCAAACGCTTCGAAGGGTGTGCTAGCGCCGGTGCCAAAGATCCAAGGAAACGTCATGTGAGTAACCAATGATATTCTTCTTTGCTTATGGCCCCTATGCTCTTTATGCTCTTTATGCTTAAGGAAAGAGACTTCTCGTATTTTTCGCAAGCACACAGTTGGCAGTCTGCTGGGGAGTCTTTTGATTTTGAGCACTACCTACAAAAACACTTCGGGTTACTCTTGTTATAAAGTCAGCACACGCCATTTGGGAACCCCCTTTTTTTAATCCCTCCCTTAAATTTCGCGTCTTATCACAGCGACAATCACAGAATTTACACTGTCAACCTAAATAGCCATTTAAGTCCCTTCTCTAAGATCGCCGTAGCAGTTCCAATATAATTGTTATATTTTCGCTAAAAAATATATTTCTTAAAAAATATTATATTTTGATATATTTTATTTATATAATTACTATATTATCTATTACATACATATAATGTTACTTATTTTCACCTATAATAATTTACTTTTATAAAAGGTATATTTCATTTTATTAATTTTTTTAAGTATTTTTTGTAAAATTTATATATTTATTATATAAATAATTATTATATACTTTTATATTATTTATAAATAAATAAATTTTTGGTTTTCATTATTTATAAATTAAGATTTGGTTACTAGAAAAATCTGAATATTATTTGTTTCTTATTTTTATATATATCTTATTTTGATAAATAATTTTTTTTTTGCTATTAATAATTGTTATAGTTTACTATAATATTATATATATAAATATAATATTTTAGTTTTCCATTTTATGTGTTTTCTTATTATGTTTATTTATTATGTTCATTGCATTTAATATTATATCTTTTATTATTATTGTATTTATAATAAAATATTTTATTAATAATACATTTATATGGAAATTTATGAACCTTCTTATAAGCTTTTCTAAACTATCTATAAAATAAAAATATTGTACTCATTTTTTTTGTATGTAAAGTTATAAAGTTTTTCTTAATATTCTTTTAAAATCCTTTTTATTATTATCGAATATTTTGATTTAGAATTTCTTGATACTTTTTTTTATATTATACTTCTAAAAAAATTTATATTTAGAAAATTATAGGAAATTTTAAGGTATGAACTTTTTAAAAAGCTTTTGTGTTAATTATTATTTTATTAAAATTTAGAAATAAAACTTTAATAAAATGTTCTCTATATTTTTGAATATTTTAATTTCTTTATCGAGCTAAAAAGAATAATGAAAGAAAGGCATCATTTTGAAAAGTCTTGTTCATATATATTGTTATAATTTTAAGTAAACTTAAATAAAATTCTTTAAAAAGTGTTGTTAACTTTAATAAATCACGTGCTCATATCATGTGACTGTGTTATGGGTCATAGGAGGTATTTTTATGTGTTACTCTTCCCCTTTTTTTCTCCCTGAAAAAGTTTAAAATGAATCTAAACTTTATTAAAGGGAAAAAATATTTCACATAAAAATGAAAGTAACTAAATTGCTAAAGAAATTTTATTATTTATAAACGCCGTCAAAAAATATTTTAAATTTTTTTAAGAAAAGTTTAATTTATATGTGGATCGCATTTTTCAAAAAATTTTTTTGTTAAGAAATATAAGGAGAAAAATTATTTGAAAATTAGCTTTTTAAGAAAAAATTAGTTTAATTAAAAAACTGGTTCAAGTTATTTAGTATATAACAAAAAAAGAAAAAGTAAATTTAGATAAATTTATTTTGAATTTTTAGTATTAAAAGAAGCTAAGAAAGTTTTTATAAATCTACGCTGATTTTTATGAAGTAAGCTTCAATAAAGAGTTTCTACAAAAAAATTATTTTAAAAAAATCATTGGAAAAGGGGAGACAATACTTTTAAGAAAATTTTATATTTCCCTATAAAATTTATAAACATTTCGCAGCAGGCACGCTCGTTTGTAAAGTTTTGAAAAAGGTCTAGACAAACTGTAAGTTACGAAGGGACAAGAAAGCTGCTTTGCTTGAAAACGTCTATGATTATATTTTAAGTTTTCTTTTAACCTGACTTGATTGCTTTGTTACGAGTATTTGGTTTCTTTAGTAAAAAATAAATACTAAATATAGTAGAAGAAACTTTCTTTCTATTAAAATATGCAAGAAATAAAGAATTTGATTTCTAAAGCTGTTTACTGAGTTCTTTAGTTTACTGCTCAGGCTGTAATATGGTAAAAAAGGCGAGTTTTAAAAGACGCAGGTATCTAGAAATCTTAAGAATGAAGCATAAGAAAAGTTAAAATTTGTTTTAAAAGGTTCCAGATGGGTACACTATATTTTTTGTTCATTTAAGAAAGCTTTCAGGAAAGTGTATATCCATAAGAGATTGCAGGATTCAGTCGCACTTTTGGAAACTTAGAACACTCAACTTGAACAAGTTCATAACAAATAGTAAGATGGAAAACTATCGACTTTCCCTCATATACGTTGAAGCACGAAAGGTTCAGCTTTAAATTTCCATCTCGGAAATTATATCACAGATACTTTAATTTTTGTTCAGAAGCGAATATATAATGAAAAAAATAATAAATGAAGGGAAACTTTAATAAAGCAAGAAAATTATTTTTTAGTACTTTATTTCCTGCTCTCACAGCGTAGTTCACAGGGGTTTAACTACAGCGCCTATAAGAGGTAGCTAGAGAAAAACAAAAGAAATTTTTTAAATTAGCCTGAGCACTAAAGGTTGGCGGGCCTTAACTTGGTTAAAATTATATGCTCCCTGTACGCTTCCTAGCGGGTTGAAATTTATAAAACGCGGACGCTTGCGTGCGCACTTTCAACAATATAGCAAAGTAAAAATCTCGCAAATTTCCAGTCCAGTAAGTTTTTGATAAAACCTTCACTATATTTAATGTTAAGTTACTCAATCTCATAACTCTAATACTTATACTTATTTAAATTTGGCTAGTCGCAGTTATCTAAAAAAGAGTGTTCCATTTAAGTAGTATGAAACGAAGTCTTAACGCCTTTGATCGCTTAAAATTATACAATTGGAATAAATATAAAAGTTCAATAAAAAAAAATAATATATGTAATTTTATTTTTTAATTATTTTCAATATTGATATGTGAAGTGTTGTTTACAATTTTTGCTTCAGAACAGGGATCTTTGCATTCGACTAGGCCAGGTTTCGCTGGTAGTACATAATAATAGTAATAATAATAATAATAATAATAATAATAATAATAATAATAATAATAATAATAATAATAATAATAATAATAATAATAATAATAATAATAATAATAATAGTAAGAATAATAATAGTAATAATAATAGTAATAATAGTAACAATAATAATAATAATATAATAATAATAATAATAGTAATAATAATAATAATAATAGTAATAATAGTAATAATAATAATAATAATAATAATAATAATAATAATAATAATAATAATAATAATAATAATAATAATAATAATAATAATAATAATAATAATAATAATAATAATAATGACCAGAGCGTGAGTATCTATCGTAGCCATTAAAAATATAATACTCGTCTCCGCCCTTTTCAGTGATTAGTCGAACGGCGCAGTTATTGGGGTTGTATTCTTTTTCGTACCTGTTGAGGTGAGCACATGAAAGGAGTTGTAATGAGTTTTACAAAAGTTATTACTTCTTTGGCTTAGTATTGTTATAAACTTTGTTAACTTTTACTATCGAGTAGTGGACAGAATAAAAAAAGTTTTATGGGAGTCTAAGAAAAAGTTTAAGTAAAATGTATATGTGTATATGGTAAATACAAAAATAACATACTTTATAGTACTAATAAAAATAATAATAAGCATTAAAAAGTTTCTATAATAATCATAAATAAAAGTTCTTGTAAAGTTATATAAATAACAAGTAAACAAAAATTTATAAAATATAATATAATAAAGTTTAAATGTTATATCAATAAAGAATAAATGTAATAAATAAGCCCTACTAATATTTATAATAAAAATTAAAAAATAAGTGATAGTAATTATAAAAAAAATTAAAATTGATAAATTAATATATAGTTCAGATGATATTTCATAAAATATAAATAATAGCATAAATAATAATAGCACCATTCTTGAGATTTGTGGGTCCACATTTTCACAAAAGTTCGCAGAGTGACGCCATGCGTTACTATAATAACAGTATTAATACCCTCATTGTTCTAAAAAAAAATGAGAAATATAGTAAATACTATAGTAATAGCCAATAAAAACTAGAAAAAATAGAAAAACAAATTAATATAAAAAAAGACCAATCAAAAATTATTGATAAAATAAGTGGTTGTAAAGCAACCAATCACAAAGTTACACAAAATTGAGTTTTGTTAAATTTAACGTTCAATATATCAATGGAGAAAAGTATAATTCTATATAATATCCGAAAAAATGTAACCACTATATATAGCGATAAAAAAAGGTTCTCTGTAATACGTGCAGACGACTTTCGCGGTCGCGCACGAGAGTCCCGAAAAAAAGTTGCATACGGATGCAAACGTCAAAGGGGGACTCCCCAAGAGGATATCTGTTAAATATAATAAAAGAATTAAAAAGATGCCGCACAAACAAAATTTCTATATAAAGTAAATACCTATAAAATAATTAAACATAAATCTTTATAAATTTTTAATGTAGATGCAAAAAGTCTAGTAATTGTTATATAAAATAATAATTTTTTTAAAATTAACGCTGCCTTGCCCAAAATCTTCCAGAATGTTTCGCTCGAAGATCGTAATGTTCCAACTGAAAGTATATAAATTATTACTACTATTATTATTATTATTATATTGTTGTTGTTGTTGTTTCTGTTATTACTTCTCTTGTGTATCCGAGTTTCTCTGCACAAGCACGGCTTTTTCCTTCAAATAAACCGTAATCGAGTTCTGCTAACATCGGATGTTCCTTAAAAAATCGTTATAAAATAAAAATTATTTTAATCAATTTTTTAAAATTTTTTGTTTCTATTTCTTCTCTAAATTATAGTTAAATACATTTTTTTTCAATTAAAAATTTTAAAAGTAAAAGTTTTGTAAAAACTCAACTTTTATTGTTCTCTATACTTTCATATAGTAACTTTGTAAGAAGTTTTTGCTTAATTAGTTCAAATTATCTTATAGTTCAACTAAATTAATTTTTTTTTAAAAAACCATCATATCCGTAATCCATTCAAAGGCCGTATCCATTATGCATTGTGCAGTTTGAAAAGTTCGAACGTACGGGCTATACCAAAGCCTTATTAATCCTGAAAAAATTAAAATCAACTTAAAAATAGGAGAAAAATATTAAAGCTAAATTGGTTACGAGTAGAAAATAGTAATAACATAATTGAATTAAATAATTTTTACAGTGCGGTTGTTATAATAAATTAAGATTTTAAAGTAAACATTCCCTCAAGCGAATTTTTTTTAATAAAAAAGTTTTTACGCCATTAAAACACAAAAATGAAAGAAATGAATTTTTTTTTTTAAAGTGAAGTATTATTTTTTACAAAACCAAAAATTCTACGTAAGGAATGACCTTTAGAAATTGTATAACGAGAATGAAAAAAAAGGAAATTTGTAGTGTTCCACGCGAGATGCACCCCTTTACTTTTTTAATTAAGAAACCAAAAAGTAAAAAGGTAAAAACTTGACTACAATAGTAATTTAAGAATTATACGTAAATTAATATATTTTCTTATTTTTAAAAAGGTAGAAAGTAAAAAGGTATGAAGTTAATAATAATAAGAAATAGTGGCAGCTCTTTACTGAAATATACGTAATCTACTCAGTATCACCAGCTTTATGAGGGAACACGAAAACTTCTTTAAAATAGTTTGTTATTGCTTCTCCAGCTCCTCTACAAAAAATTATTTTAATCAGAAATAAAAAATCTTTAAATAAAAATATAGAAGAGCTGGTCAGACAAAACCAAGGAATATATTAAAACCCTAATTTTAATAATAGGATTTTTAACATTATTCAATAAAAATGTTTTTCCTCTATAATATTAAAGAAGTTTTTAGTAGGTTGTATTAAATCTTTATAAATATTTATTTATAAAAGCAATAGAGGCCTCTGCAACTATATATAAATAAATATAACTGCCTTGCCATAGTTTTGCCCGCATTAGAAAGAGGTATTTTATGTTCAGGTAAAGTAACATAGACAGAAGGATCAACATTAGCGAGAGATTCTCCGTGACGAACCTTTTATCATTGTAACTCTTGTTAATAGAATTTATTATAAAATATAAAAAAGGTAACCAAAAGAATTCTAAATTGCGTTTTTTCGGGTTTGCATTGGATTGAATGGAAACAACGAAAAGGACAGGAATAAAAGTTTTTAATTTTATTAAAAATCCTAAATTTCGTCATTTCATTTTCAACTGATTGAAATTTTGCTATTACTATGGCTGAATCCTCTGCTACTTTTGATATGACATCTTCATTCAACAGCACAAACCCCATTTCATCTACTAAAACTTTTAAAGTATTATAAGAAGTTTCGTTGAGAGGGTTAATAGCGTTCGCAGTTCTTTCGGAAGTAGTTAATAAAGCTTGTACTTTTTCGTTAATTAACTGTAGTACCTCCATAACTGTATTGTTCGGTTCGCAGGTTAAAATAAAACGAACTCCACAGTCAGTAATAATCCTAAGCCGCATATTCTATTCCCTTTCTATTAGTTCACTTTTTTTTATTAATAAAGTTTGAAACCTATAGAAACTAATGACCTTTGACTAGGTAGTAATCTTGGTTTATCAATCCAACTCGAAATTACAGACAGTTCTTAGTTTTCTACGAAAGTTGAACCTTTGCGAAAAAAAACTGCTTTTTTTTTCTAACTACTAAATATACTTTATATATTCTTTTACAACAGTTTTTTGTTGTAAGTGTTCTTGAAGTAAAACCTTACAAAGCGTACTTAAGTTGAAAACAAAATTTTATGTCAGAAATAATTGCACCCATTATTCATAATTAACATGCCTTATTATAGTACACATTTTAAAAAAATAAATATAAAATATATAGATCTACCAGTAAAATACTTCTATGAAATATAGCCTTTAGAGAATAGGAAAAAAACATTACTTTACATATTTACTGCTTTCCACAAAGTATAAAAAAAGAAATGTTATTAAGGTTACTGGTTAATTTTTCGAAGATATAATTTTCTTTTTGCACACTTTTATTGACCGCACGGTAAAATTTTTAAGCGAAAATAGAACGCGAAGGAGTACGATAGGAAAACAAAATTATGTATCCACTGTAACACTCATTTAAACATATCTTTAAAAAATTTATAAATAAAAAAGCCTGAAAAAAAGGACAACTCTTCTTTTATTTTACAAAACATGTAAAAGAGTAATTTTTTAAAGACAGGAAACCTTAAATAAATATTTGTGTTTTAGTTAAAAAGAATGACCTTGAGCTGACAGCTTTAAATCAAAGAAAACTAAAAACTACTTTTTAATAATGTAGAAGAGCATCACTAGGCGGAGGAAAACTAAGTTGATTCATTCATATTCTACGAGAATATTCTATTGCATTCGGTGCAAAAGTTAGCTACAGTTTGTTTTCGCCAATTAAAATTATGAAATTCGTACTTAATGAACTCTTAGGAGCGACACTGGAGCGGCTATGACGCTGTGGTTTAAGACATCAAGTTTAAGAGTAATTTATAAACAATTCATGAGCTAAGCTAGTTCCTGCAGGTATTTTTTAAAATTTCCTTTTAAGCTTTAGGCCCCTTTAATAATACACCCATCCTCTGGACGTTAAGCACCCAATAAACTATCTTGTAGACAGCTATTAACAATACTTTGCTCGGCCCTACAGGCCAAGACAATATATTAAACGAACTCTTTAGATAATAAAGCTAAAACCTCTTTACAACCCTACAGACTGAGAAGATGCCACAAACGAAGATTGAACCTTGTTTTTATTGAATTAGAATGAATATATATTCACAATTCTTAAATACACAATTCTTAAATAATCTTGATAGATTAAATTTAACGGTTAAAATTAATATAAATGCCAAGAGCATACCCTCAGTTGTGTGGAAGCTACCCTTTTTTAACTGCGTACTGTAATTGGATTATAAAATCAACAAGTATATCCTTAAAATATGCATTGTACTGGCAACTATGGCATTAGAGTGGCAGTGTGAATTCTACCTCTACCCTAAAAGGTCGATTAATCTCGGCTGCAATCCTTACATGAGCCTTTACCTTTAAATATCCTTCTGAAGCTTCTGCTGTTCTTAGCTTAATCTTTTTATTCTCCCAATGGTTTTGGACACTTAAACAAGTTTGCGCAGAAGCGAAATTAAGTACGCAACCCATTAAAGATCGAAAAAAAGAAAAGCTTGGATAAGGAATCAAACATTCGATTAGAGTTTACGTATCAATGGTCCTAAGTGCTTTGCTACAATGACGCTTATTTTACCTACGCGCTCGGGTCCTGAAGTGTGGTTGTCATAATTGTAGTAATTAAGGTTTTAAAAAAACCAATAAATGCACTTTTTATGCTTCCTGTTATAAAGAAACTACTAAATTTAACCGACTGACGACACCCAAACTCTTAGACTCCTAACGGTCTCTGTTAACGCCGGATAGAAGAACAGAGAGCAACAATTAGAAAGCAAAAATTTACAACTTATAAAACAAATGTAACTAACTGATTCATTTCACCACGCCCCTCCCCAGGGTCACAAAGTTATGAGCTAGAAATCAGCTTAGCTTATATCCCCTAATAGGGACATTATTTTAAAGAGTCCTTTTTCCGGTCCGTTTCATATTAAATAAAGTGATTTTTGACATCTCTATTGCAACAACTTTGTTTCGTTAGTTGTCAATCAGAATATTGATGGAATGCTCAACTGAGCTTCTGAGTTCCTCTAGTACGGTTTGCATCTATTTTGTCCCGATAAACTAAGCTGTTGCCATGTACTTTTCTACTTCAAATGAATATCTATCATGGATTGTTTACTTTTCTCCAAATTAGCAAACAGTTCAATGATTTTTTTATGTTATGGTAGCAATCTAAATTTTTATAAAGCTTCGAATGCCTAGCTAACGTCAGAACGTATTTATTTCCAAGTTTTTTTCTTAGCCTTTATTACATATCCTTTCATCCCTTTTAAACGGCGTTAACACCCTTTTCGCAATTTCCCAGTGTTTAGTTGTATAAGCTTTAAAATGTCAAATTATCTCGTTTACTACAAAGAGTATTTAAGGACTCGAGAAATCCCCAAGATTTTCTTTAACAAATGTAACTTTATGTATAATTGTTTTATAGTGGAGGAGACTTTGCCAACGCGATGTAGCCATTCTTTTTGCATATAAAATCTCTGAAAATTCTTTTAGTATGTAACAAAATGTTAATAGCTATTCGCTACCAAATCTTTGTAATCCTATAGAACACCTACTCTGTAAAAGTTCAGTCTAATACTAATAAAGATGCTTATTTTGGTCCAATAGCTCAACAAACATCATCAAGCGGGGTACTTCATTTATTAGATATTGCCATCATAAAGACATCCGTTTTGTTGCTAAGCTGACGATGATGTATGAGCCCTCCTTTTGTCGCCTACCAGTATCTTAAGAAATAGGGCCCCCCAGTTCCCTTTTTTTTTTTACCTAATTCGTCAATTAATAAATTTTTAAGTAGACAGAAAACGGAGATATGACCCTTTAAAAACCTATATACTCGTGCTTCATTAAAATTCAGTAGTTAACTTTCAAGTCTGTAACTTAGTTAATGTTATAATTATAATAATTTGACCAAATCCACTAAGAGTATGCAGACTATAAACCGTCAAACGGCGTTTACTAAGAAAAAGGAAAAAGAGGCCAGTAACTGGAAAGCAAAAGCTTATGGCTTTATATATTTATTTATGAAGATGAAATAATACAGTCAGTTCAAGCTTAGAAGAGGCCTAAAACGCTGCTTAATCTGATTTACAAATTAAAAAAGGTCCTTTATGTCCAGGAGGCCGTAGGGACAGTGAACAGGTGTCGCGGTTAACGAGTGTAAAGCATCCGCGTCATAGGTTATGTTACAAACAAATAAATAGTTGGGATGCGCTAAATATATACCATAGCTCTCCAAAGTAATGCGACAAATATGTTTAAGGAAACGTTGCCAACTGCAAGCCATGATGCAAGCGAGCACCCCGGAAAAACCATGGGGCGCCTGAAATTATTCGGTACAGTCGATTTTGGACCGCTTGAAGTCGCTTTATGTTTAGTTGACTGCCATACGATGCCACGGATGCATAGGTAAAAGTCGACTGAATAATTTGAAAATAAAGCTTAAGTTGTTGCTTATTGAGAAAGAACCCTTCTTATACAAGAAGGGAAAAAGTCTTTATACGTTAAATTCGCTTTGGTGATGGGGTAGTCAACGTGACAACGCCACGAAAATTGCTTGTAACTCCCTTGTGTCAGGGGACGGCTTGACCGCAAAGCGTTATAATAGATGCTGTCGTTTCATGACTCCTCTTCAGTACGAACAGAGCTCTGCTCTATAGGGAGTAAACTGATATTTGCCACTAATCAAACCAAACCTCAAGTGCACAAGCATACGTTTGCACGTGTTTTAAAGCTAGAGAGGTGGTTTGGAGTAAACATAGGGAGCCGTATCGCCATCAAACTGTAACAAAAAAGTGGTTTTCTCAGTTCTGGATGTGTCCAACATGTATAAAGCAAATAAGATGGTAGATAGCTACGAGCCTTGCGGATTTCCCATAGCCAGCTCGTTTAAAGATGAGCTAGCTTTTCCCACTATGACATAAAATGACAGGTGCAGAAAAGGCTGGAGAAGCGAAAGAAGATAACCTTGTATCTTCAGGATGA